TTGCACGATTCATCATCAGTAAGTCATGAACTTGAATTTGCTTCTCCACAGTGCGCTTACGCTCACAGCTCCGTGCCACACAACGAACCACCATACTAGTTCACCTCCAAGCCATAAAAATTTTTACTAGAACCTTGATCCAATCATATTCGACAACTGCACGCGTTACTCGAACATGGAGAATAACATATGGCAGTATCAAAATGAATGAAGAAACGAATGAAGAAATTGTACAGAGATTGACTGCCTTAGTGGTAGAGCCGAACCTTCGACCTCCTGCACGATCGCAATGCCCCTTGCCACAGCGCCATGCCCACTTCTTTTTGTAACAACCTTTTGAATTTCAAGATCATGACTGCAGTCATTTGCTCGAAACCAGGCGTTTAATATTGCAGGTCATATTCGCGCACACTTTGCACGAAGCAGCACTGTAACTGCCATCATTTGCTTGGATTAGTTACGTGTAATGCTCAGGAAGCAAGCGAAATAAAATCGCCGGGAGAAACTGGAGACGTGAAACCCAAAAGCAGCGAAAGCGACAGAACCGAAAGCGAAGAGATCCCACAGGCATGCACAGAACTGCTGGCCACGTTTCTGGAATTAAACTGATAATTACTTGTCTTATGATGTTTCCTCACTACCTGGATACGATCAGCTAGGAATTTTTTCCCCTTCAGCAGAACCCCCATGGCATGAGGAACTTGGATACCAGCCTGCTCTACTGTTTGCACAGGAACGTGGACCAAGACCCAAACAAACTAGCCTTTTTTCAGTGTTTTGAATAAACCAGCGTTACATATTCTTTTTAATAACACTATAACGGCTGTTCTGAACATCCTTAACAGGACCATTCTGCTGTTAACATCTGTTTTAGGTAATCTTGGAAGTATGTGTGTTTCTCCTTATGCAAGTTACTTTTGCGTGTTGCTACTAAGGCCAGAACACAACTTGGCTTTGCGAGAAATCATAACGCCTACTTTATGTCGGAGGACTTTGTGCAGCACATAGATAGTTGAATAAAGAGGAAGTCAAAATTTTAATACCTTCAGAATCTGAACAAATTTACGAAAAACAGTGATAAACCAGTTTCAGGATCCAAAAGATTGCGGACTGCCAGTGGTAGCCTCAAAGGTTCCTGCATCCGAACAGAAGATATGGAGTGAAGCTGCGCAGGCAAATCACGGGAACGGCTTTCCAGATGACAATGTGCACGAGTGCACTTCAGGAAGCGATCAGATTAGCACACAATCAATTCGTTTTACAGATGGGATTATTGCGCTCGCGCAGCCGCTGCTATATGAAAGTACCGTATAATCATCGGCAGAGTTGGTCGGGGACAGATGTTTTTTCCCCACCACTTTTTTTAATCCACTTCTGCTTACTAATTATCCATATTTATCCTGCAAATAAAAGTACTAACTCAATGGCGTACGTGTACACAGAGCCCGGTGGGTAACAGCAGGAAGTATGCAGTCCAGGATAGAACGGCTAAGCATAGCTCCAGCTAGACTGGAGTGTATCTCAGTAACAGCTTCAACTTCAGACCACCACACCGAGAACCCTCAGTACAACAGGAAGTATGCAGTTGCAGATGGAAAGGCCAGGAACAGCTTTACTTGAAGGTGGGAACATCCCAGCAGCGGCCTTAACATCGAACATCAATGCCAACTGCTTCATAAATGTCCAAGCTGCCCTAACTGCTACGAATCGAAAGCATGAAGTTCAATACAAAAAGACCAGACAAAGCTGTCTCCGGCCTGGCACTACACCTCAGCAAAAGACTTAGCGTCAGACCTTCACAACGACTGTCCGGACCAGCGATTCTGGTTTAGAATTTACCATCGAAACGAATGAACGAATCGTAGAAGGAATGGTTGCAACGCTTGAAAGAGGAAGTTACTGGACCACTTAGACGATTGACAGTTGCTTTTGACACGTGTTACAGTTTGCGCTACTTCTTATGTGCTTTCGCTTCCAACGGGTAGCGCATACAGAAGTGTTTTTAAGTCTAATTTAAAACGTAGGAGGGTAGATTCATATCCTCATTAGCTGTAACTCACCGACTGTCAGTTTTGGAACCTAAAGGCAGTATAAAAATAAAGCCGTTTTCACAAAAAGCTAAAAAAGCTGGGTCCCAAATAATACTTTCAAAACAGAGCGTGTCAAAAATTGCGGACTACCATCCAGAATTTATTCGCAAAAATGTAAAACCACTCGAAACTCATTGAAAATTAACTGAATTTCTTCTAAAACTCCAGAAGTCCGTAGTGAAATGAGTGATTTAAACGCCAAACTGCTCGAGATTCTGGTATCAAATTTTGTTTCTTGTCTCGAGAAACACCGGATACGAAGCTCAAAGGTGTAAGTCACAAAACTACAAGTTTTTAATTGCAGAAGATGTAGTAAATGCAAATTACAGTGAACGCATTAGCATGCACCACAGAATCAGGCGTTTTTTGCGCCTATATGAGGCCCCGAGCTATTCAATACGACAAGGAGTTGCTATAATGCCCGACTAAGTCTGTGCCTGAG